TCATAAGAGCGCCAAAAAGTGGATGTCAACAGAGAAGTCCAAACGGGGCATCAAACTTAGGTTACATGTCCACCGGGACAGACACGGCCCGATTTTTTGCCGGGAGGAAAAAAAACGGTCGGGTCGTTTCCTTCTTGTGTGTCCACACAGTTCGGAAAAGACTCGTCTAGTCTGTTGGCCTACTTATTCCCCGGATGTGTACACCGTACCGCTGTCGTGGCAGGCTGTGTTCTCTGTAGGGGGTTATAAATTCAAGAGGTCACATCAACCCAAGGCGGGAAAAAAGAAATGTATGGGTTTTTAAGAAAATGGTTAAAATTGTTCATATGCATTTAAACCACGTAGTTTGCGCATAGACGTTGCTAATTTTGAGGAGCTGATTACGAATATGACATTAGACGTTTAATCCAAACTCCAAAAAAAAAAAGATTTTTTTAGCTCTGCGGGGCCTATGACGGATGAGTCACCACCCAGCCAGGCTAAAATGCAGCGAGAGGCTTTTGTCAGGGCGTGTCGTGTCGTGTCTGTTGACAAAGCCAAACGTAATTTATCACTGATTTCTTAGGAAAAAAAACAGTGCTCCATTTCATCTACCGGCTTTACGAGAGACGGACGGAATCGGGTCGGTTTGTATCTGTTCTAGTGGACATGCACCCTTACTCTGCTCATCTCTTTAGCCTCAACAGAACAAAGTCCGCTTCGACTCTCAAGGTACCCCAGAAATAGTAGTTCACAAGAGAGTGCCAAACATACAAAAGAAAGATAGGAAAAATGATGATTGTAAGGGTGAGGAAAGAAAAAGCAGTAGTTCCCCCATGTTGTTCCGGTACAGTATGAGAATGACATTGATAAAGCAGCCCATTTACAATTCTACTGTGCATAAGAACATGTTAATTTTTCCTCTTTGGAAATGACCTAAAGAAACTTCAGTCAAAACGAAAAATGAGACAGGGATAGAGAATGAGGCAGAGGCAGGGACAGAAATATAAGACAGAGACAGAAGCAGAAAATGAAACAGAGACAGAAACAGAGAATGAGACAGAGACAGAAACATCATAGAATGAGACTGAGATAGAGAGTGAGACAGAGACAGAAACAGAGAATGAGACAGAGAATGAGACAGAGACAGAGAATTAAACAGAGACAGAAACAGATAATGAGACAGAGATAGAAATAGAGAGTGAGAATGAGACAGAGACAGAACAAAACAGAGACAGAAACAGGGAATGAGACAGACAGAAACAGAGAATGAGAATGAGACAGAGAATGAGACAGAGACAGAAACAGAGAACGAGACAGAGACAGAGTGAGATAGAGAAAGAGAATGGGTGGACATAGACAGAAACTAAGAATGAGACAGGGGAATAGAGAAAAACAAAATCTAGACGAAAAAACGGCATGGAAAGTCGGGGAGCTCGGGGAAAAAAGTAGGCAAGAAATTGTCCCACTCACCTCGCAGCTTTGATGGCGGCTGCCAGTGGATTTTCATTCCAGCCTGATACGCTTAGACCCGTGGCTTTGCTAAGGGCGATAACTCTCTGGAAGAGTCCATGGACACCAGTAGATAATGCTAAGACTGAGGCGTCAAAGGCTCCAGCCGACTCTCCACCCAGCTGAAAGTGAAAGGCCAAAGGCACACTTAAGCACTGGTGTGAAATTAATGATTTCCGAAGCAAGCTGCGCAAAGTGATGAGGTTACCCATCTTCGTTATGACAAGTTGGAACAATACAAATAGAAACGTTGAAAAAAAAGAAGAAAAAAAAACAAAACAACCCAACACCAACAGCAAAACAAACAAACCCAACCCTCCAATTAAAAAACATTTTAAAAAAGAAATTAAATACGTTTACGAATTTGAATG